GAACTGTTGTTGCTGTGGACTGTTTTGTTCGGTAGATTTTGATCTTTTTTCATGTATTGATAGAATGATTTATTTGGTTCTTTATATTTTTGAGGTTTATTTTGATTGTCTTGCTGTTTTTGTCTACATTCGGAAATACTATGTCCGTATCGTCGGCAATAATTACACCATTTTTTGAAAGATGGTTTGCCTTTAAAGTTTGGGTGTTTTTCGTAAATATTGAGTATTTCAGTGATTTTTTCAACGAGATCTGTATCTGATTCCTGTATATTGTTTATATTTGTGGAAGCTGTTTCAATTCTGTTAACGTATTGTAATTTCAGATTTTCCGTTTCTTCGAGTTTCATTGTGATTTCTGCTTGTTCTAGTTTGTCTACTAGTTTTCGAAAATCTAAATCGGGTTCTTGAATTGACGAAGGATGGGATGCTCTCTTTTTTATTGCTATTTTCCTTAATTGTGGTGTTAAGGTCATCATTAAGATTTCTGTCATCTTTGTGTTTTTATAGTCATGTGTATTTAATGAATATGCTTTTCGAACTAGTGTTTCGATTCGTACTGCTAATTGCTTGATGGTTTCGTTTGGTAATCTGCGAATTTCATTACATAAAACTCTTTGTTGTTGTTTGTTTCTTTCGGAGTCAAACATTTTTGAAAATTCTTGTGTAAATTTTTTCCAATTTGATTTTATTTCTATAGGCAATACTGAAAACCATTTTTGGGTTGCGCCATCTAGAGTTGTTTGTATTAACGCTGTGCGTCGATGTATCCAGTTTTGATGTAGTGGCGTATTAATTGGTTCAGGTCCTATAATTAAAATCAAATTTGCTGTGACTGCATTTAAATAGTCTTCTACAGAATATTCAGGGTCTGTTCCTGTGAATACCATTAAAGGTTTATTTGATGTTATTGATGATCCACCCATAAGGTATGGATTCATCGTCATTTGTAATGATTCTGCTGCATTTGGCATTTGAGAAAAATTTGAAAGTTGATTTCTTGTTATTTCGTGTTGTTGAAGATAATATGGGAGTGGTATTTCATTTTGCATTTGTGCTGGTTGGTACGAGTTTGCAATCATTGGGTTTTGTTGCTGAATTGGTTGAAAAGATTTATTAATTGGGTTTTGTTGTTGAATTGGTTGTTGAATTTGTGTATCTATTGGTTGTGGAGAAAAAATTCTATGATATGTATGTGGTTTCTGTATTCCTTGTCCACGATATTCTTGATTATAGGGTGTAAATATATCTGGTTGTAAGAAATCATCATCTGAGGATAAGTAATCCATTTGATAAGATGTTTGTTTTTTATTTTTATTTTGTTGAAAAAATGGATAGTTTTCACTACGATCCTGTGGAGGATGTAAATTTGTTTGGAAATTTACTGAATTAGGTGGTGCCATTGGGTTATCCCAGTTTCGAGATCTTGTATAATTACTAAAAATTTTTCGTGGTTGATAATTTGTTTTTGATGGATGTGTGTAATTATAATTATGGTCTGCAAAGTTGTTTCTAGTGAACGTTTTGCGTGTTTTTGGCGGTATTGTCATGGGTCTGTATGTTTGGTAATCCATGTGTGAATATTTTGGGGCAACCGAAGGTTTAACGGTTGATTGTAATGTTACCTGTGTTTGTGAAGAATTTGTATTTCTTGGTGTTGTTAAGTTTGGACGTATTGGTGAAATACTTTGTTGTGTAGTTGTTGTATGTACGATTTCTTCATTTATGAAGTGTGATGGTGTCTGGATATCTTGTTGAGTAAGATTCCTAGTTCCATTGAGGTTTTCATTGTGTATGACTGTAGAGTTTAAACTATTATTTTGCATATCGGGTAAAAATGTATTATAGTTTAATGGTGTTGCATCAATGGTTAATGGTATTACTCGTACATAATCTCTTACATAAGATATCGTACTTATTGCTTGACTTGAGATTGATTGTGGGAAGTTTATGAATGCGGGATGAGACCATTCGGGGTCCCAAACATAGTCTGATTGTTCTGTGATGGCAGTGTCATCGTTTGAGTTTTGGGGTCTAAAATTTTTTCTTGCTTGTGAAATTAAATCAATATTATGTGTGAAATAATCTATTATGAACCATGCCAAAATTTTTTGTAAGTCGTGTTTTGTATGTTGTGAAACTTCATCTTTCGTGAAATTTTCTTTAATTATATTTAGAAAACTAGAGAGTAGTGTGATTTCATGTCGTACTCTTATATGTTTCGATGTTTCTGTCGGTGAGACATTTGGTATCTGGATTTCGTTTTCTAATATCGAGATATAACTATATATTATCGCAAAAACTTCATTGGTGAATATGGAGTTTGCTCTTTGTGAGTTATGATATTGGATGCTTTTTATATATTCTGAGAATACTTTTGAGAATTCTAAATCAAGGTCGTCTGTTTGAATTATATATTTACTGTGATTCTGGTTTGGTGAGCTGAATTCTATGGAGTAGATTCCTTATTGTTGTGTTAGGTTACATATATCTTTTAGATAGTGATCGATAATTTGTCTTTTGATTTTTACATCTGGGAACTCTGTTTTACATGGACTGATTCCGGGTTCAAACAAATTTAAGAGTAAATTTTTGCAGAATATATGCTGTCCTCTATCAGTGGTTGCATCTACGATAAAGGGGAAAATATCATCATCATCTGGACTTTCTTCACCTGGGGTGTGCGTTGAGCTCATTTTTTCGTTCGATGACTGTTAATATGTAATTATCAATGTGTCTAATTGGTTGATTCCAATTGTATAAATGTACTGGTTTGTGTTTATACTGCTTTTTTATTCTTCTTTTTCCTCTTTTTGATGAATTTGAAGTTGTTTCTGAGTCAGAGAAATATAATTGATCGTGAATTGGGCAATTTTTATCTATTGATTCTTTTAGTTTATAAAGTTCGTCTAAACTGTTGGTTTCTGATTCTGAAAATGCGTTTCGATTTTTTGAAAATCTTTTTCGTGTTATTTGTCTTTGTTTAGTTATTATTTTTCTCTTTAATGTTTGTCGTTTTGTTCTAATGTATCCAACTGTTTGTGTATGAGGTGTGATTACAAGGTCGTATTTTTTGTTATTTATTTCACAATTGTGTAAAACGATTGTTTGTTTATTTCCTAGGTTTTTAAATGACATAAGGTTTAGGATGACGGATGCAAAAGGTTGTTAAATGATTTCTATTTGCTTAAACTGTTAGTCCTTACGATTTTTTTGTTAGCCTAACCTGGGTCTATTTGTTCAGGGTTGGGGAGAAAAGTATATCGATTCCGAAGAATGATTTTATACTTTCTCGTGGCTAGTATAAGCTAAGGTGTTAACTTACTTAATCTTACTTAAGGGTAGTGATTGTGTTCAGGGTTGGAGAATAGTAAATCGATCCACAGGGTTCAGGTATAATTAGAACGCGAGTAGTTCGTTAGATACTATTTTAAACTTACTAAGTCTAAGATTTATCCTGGGTCTGGTAAGAGGGGGGATCAAGTGAAGGATGAATAACCGAAGTTCTTCACTGTTTATCCTAATTTGAATGATTAGTTTTGTTCAAAAATTTCTATTAGTCCTGGGTTTTTAGAAAGGGTTGGATAGTGAATCGACGTTTGAGGTCGTTAGACACTCGTTTAGTGGGTGGGGGAGAACAAAGTTGTTCTTTTTGATCCAAGGATAGGCCTTGATGATCAAGTTTTAAATTTAATTAAATAGAAAATGATTTAAGATCCAAGGATAAGCCTTGATGATCTGATTTTAAAATTAAGTGAATTTAAGTTTAAAATGTTTTAAATTTGTGTAAAGAATAGATTTAGTATTTTTATGATATTAGTGAGCTTATGATTGCTGTTATGTTTAGACGATGAAGCTGGAACAACAGGATGATTTATAATTACTAATCATTTATTGTCATGCTACTAATTTTTATTTTGATTTTTCAATAAATATTTTTCAAACATGTTTTGTATATTACTGCAGAATTTTGGAAAACGATCTGAGATCTTTTTATCAATCGCTATTGTATATCAATAATTTTGTTTAGCGCCTGAAATGATTTTGAAGATTGACTTCAAAATTTTATGTTTGCAAATGAAAATCTAAATTCATTGCTAGTAGTATTCTAAATACAAAAGTTTGTTCTGGCTTTTGCCGAACTATCATATAACTATATGGTAAGTTTCTGCTTTGTCGTATGTCGTCTCTGGTTCGAGGTCTTCTTCCAATTCCGGGTAGTTCTGTTATCGTTCGGAATATTGGCTCTGATCTATTGAGTCGTAGAGACATTTCGATTAAATTATTGTCGTATAACATTTTGTAAATGTTTTGTCTAAATTCTAATCTATTATTGGTTAATGCTAAGCTATTAAGGTCTTGTTCGAGACTTATGGTCGCACCAGATGAGTTATAATCGATGGGTATAACTCATAGAGTAATTTCGGATAGGGTACACCGTCTGCTCGTCACGCTATCTTATTTTCGGCCGGATAGATTCGTGCAACTTCTTAGTCTAATACCGATCCTAATCTTACTCTTATACTATCTAGTCTCAGGTTGTTTAACTAGCCTCTGCTAGGCTCAATAGATCTAGGGTATACTGGTTTATTGCGGCTGCTGAAGTACTCGGGAGAGTTCAACTAATTTCTAAGTTAAATTCAAATCTCTCTGGTGCTGAAATTACAAGTAATTTCAGCACTTACAAATAAGTGGATTGTTAGTTAGATGGATCATGATTGGTTAATATTAAATACTTTACATTGGTAAAATATCTAATTTATCCAATCATAAAATGTAGTTTAGATCAGGTTCCAATTAAAACTATGCGAGATACGAGTTAAATGTTTGCAGAATTATGAGTCATGGCTGAATTTTTCTGGAAAAATTTCACAAATTACCTTCGTTCGATAGCTAAATAAGTGGAAAAAAAACAATGTTACTGTAAACTGTTCCCATCAATTTTTTGCTGAAAAATAGGACACAACCAAAGATCTGGTTAATTCTTACAGAACTATTTTTAGGATTTGAAAAACAAGTTTGACACTAAACAGTCTTCACTGGGCGAAATCAAAGCAAAACTGGCCAAGGCTTCAACTTCTTACGGAGGTGTAGTTTTCGAAGACGTCAATTCCGAGTACGAAAAAATCTCCAAAGCCATGGAATCATTCAGTGCCACTACAATCGCAAAACGAAAAGAGATTATTGAAAAAGTAAATGAAAATCTAGAACGGGATGTGCACTCAGTCGAAAAGCAGTTGGCAGAAATTATCAAGAAAGCAGAGCAGCTGAAGGCACCAGCAACGTCGCCGGTCCAGCTAAAGGACAAAAGCGGCACTCTCAATGTTAGTTTTTGCTGTTTTTTCGAATCCCAATTGAGTATTTTTACTACAAAAAATGTATGCCTGCTCTATTGGAGTGATTGGTAAAGCCGCCTTATGTGCCGTTATCAACTACTGGACTAGCTTTAACTTGCGCGCTAGTGAAAATTTGACAATAATAAGTTCTAGTTTCCTTAATCTCGAGAAAGAGCTTTGCGAATCGTATCTCTCTAACTTTCGCCACAAAATAGGCAGTAAAAAATAAACTGATTTTTTTTGCTTCCAGAGCGACTAATTACAAGGTTTCAAGGCTTTCCGCGCCTGTTTTTCACACAAATAGCACTATCAGTTTTGTGCATTGTGGTTGCACCCGGTTGTAAAGGAGAATCAAATAGGTTTGAAACCGATAAACAAGTCTGCTCGTATATCAAGGCAAATATAGAAAACTTATAAATTTTGGACAATATCAAAATGTGAAATTTTGATTCGTAAGAATTTATTACGACCGATTAGCTAGCCTCGATACATTTTGGAACGATTTTGTTGTGCGGGATAATTCGCCACGCATAAATAATTCGCGTTAATGCTCTCAGCTTTATGAAAAAAATTCTTCAAAGCGCGCATAATTTGGTTCAGAACTTGGACAATTTGGCATTTTCAAACCCCCAGAACTTTACAAAACTTGATTGGAGAAGAAATGACTTTTCATATTTGAACTCAGGAAGTCGATATCTTCAAAAGGAAATTAAAAAAAAATTGTTGAAAAAAATTATTTCGATCGGCAAAAATTGACTAAATAAAAAAATCACACCGAACATGACTATTCCGTTTTCTTCGAAAGTCAAAACAATTATTAATCCTGAAATGGGGGCTCAAAAAATAGAACATAGGTAAAACAGCATAAGCCTTTGCTAGTTTTATTTACGTATTACTGCGTGCGTTTGTAGCTAAATTTGCTATTCTGGACGAACACTGCATATCATTGTTCTGAAATAACTGTGAACATGTAGGCATGGCTATTTAGTGGTAGATCCATAACTATTTATTCATTTTCACTATTTTTAGGCAAAAAAACCGAATAAAAGCTTAATCACTTTGTTGTGCGCTTTTACACTCAAATTTCTGATTCAAAATATTGAGATCGGTAGCCCGTTGTCGATTAGTATCATTAAATCATTGACTAATATGTAATAAAGCATCTTTTTAAAAATTTCAATATTCTATGCTATTTTGTTTTTATGCTAAAATTACGTTCCCCAAAATTTTAATGGGATAATTTATTTCTCAATTTTGACCATATTTGTATTTCAGACAACCAGGCGGGTAAACCAACGGTTAAACTTTAATATTGATGCTGATGTGAGATTGGGGTTGGGGTTTGGTAAAAAAAAATTGAATTTGACTACCTTTTCAAAAGAAACAATAAGAGTTTTTTTTGCTGCATATTTTTGCTGCAAAAATGAATTGTTGTACGAACTGCAAAGTTTTTTTTCCGGGCACTAGTTATTTAAATAAACGTGAACTTTGAAACGCATTTCATAGCAGCACTATTTGGACACCAAATTTTAGTATCGAAATGATTTTTTGAGGTTTTCCGCGCTTT